CGAGTCAAGGCACACCGGTTTTAAAAACATCAGACGTTATATTAAAAAAAAAAAAAAAAAAAAATAAATCATTTACTGAATGTTAGTTTCTTTACGATGAAGACCAAAACATTTATATAAAAAGAACAGACTCTCACACGCTAACAGCGTGCCACTGCCAAATTTCAAGTAATAAACACAATTCTGTACAGAAAATCCTTAAGCACAAATCTTTCAATAAAAGAAACAGTAATCTACTTAGAAACACTGTTCGCTCAGTCACGCAGCTCCACCATCCCATTTAAGCAAGAAGGGACACGAATTTACAGGGTACTGGCACAAGTTCCTGAATGCTGCATTTCCAAACTATAACTTAACTCTCAAATATTCACATTTAGAACAATGAGAACAGTCGTGAAGATGACTGTACAAGAATAAAACACAAGTAATAATGCCTTAACACATCTGGGAAAAAAAAAAAGAAAAAAAAGAAGGAAAAAAAAAAAGGCTACTCCAGAGCAGTGAGGCTGGTACCTGAGCAATGGCGTTCCCTGTGACAGACCTGCACTGCTCGGTGACCAGACCCGTGGTCTCTGCCTGCTTCCAGTGTTTATTCAGAGCTCTTTTATTAGCTTGTTTTCTCTGAAACACTTTGCGAAGTTATCCAGTATTCAACTGCACTTGCTATTTCAGAGCAAAATAAATATCAAAGTCTTTTATCTAAAAATATTGAGAAAACTGATTTAAAACCCATGCCATATTTTCTTCTCCTAAGCACTATTTCAAAATACTGATGTACATCTCTTTTTTCTTTGGTTTTAAAAGAGAAGCGAGTTGGAAACATGTGAAACCACACCTTCCTCCCCTGCCGCCCTGCTGATTCTTAAAGCATAATTTGTAAAAACAGTACGAAGTTCTTAAACACAGTTTCAGTTCTGATCACATCCAGAGTTCTTAAGCAGAGTTTCAGTTCTGATCAATTTTACCCACCTCCCCTGAAAAAACAGGGACTTAAGAAACCCAGACAATCCTGAAATTGTAGCAGCAATAAAGTGTCCTACCATAGAATTTTTTGGACAGGTCTAACACAGTATAAATGAGCTAAATCTCCAGTCTTGGAAACTTTAAGGCCCACTAGCATAATCAAGATTGAGACCGTAAGCGTCCATCACATAGACTGCGGTGCCAGGGTGCCAGTCAGCTGCTCAGTTTCTAGGTGCTGCAGATGCTTCTAACTCTTATCTAGTGGTTCTGGGAGTTTCAGGAAGTCAAGTTCTTCTGGCTTTTCATGGTTTTCAAGGATACCTCTGAGCTTCTGTTATCTTTCTGATTAGGAACAGCTTGTCACGACTCTCCTGGAAAGACAGAATAAAAAGTACGCTCTAGATGCACAGAAGTAATACCAGTTATCTATGAACACCTCATTTCTTTATTCACCACATCGTACTCTAAGTAGTGGCTCCCAGCTGCCTGAACAATTTTAAGTTTACCATAGTCTTGACTTCATTTATCTCATGTTAGTTCACATACTAACAATTCTGTGCTGAGACTAGTAAGAACATCTCACACCCCCAAAACCTCAAAACTGTACTTGGAAGAAGCCTAACAACAGCGAACAAACAAAAGTAAAAAGCACACAAGGATTTTCAGAATTCCTAACTGATTTGGGAACCCTTGAAAAAGAAGTAAGGCTTTTGCTCCTAAATTCCTTACTCTTCAAAAATCTCTCCCCAGCACAGTGTTTTTCTAAGGACATGTTGTTAAATGCCATGTCTAAAAGAAGCACATACCAAGAAACGAGCTATTTCCTAAGAAAGTGAGAAGTCTTACTAGCCAGGCTAGGTTCTGACTAGAGCAGAGTTTGACAGACCACAGTATATGAATACTCTCAACCACGGCAGCAGCTTCTGATGGCCGCAAAGAACCATGTCTGCACTGGCACTGTTCTCCAAAGGACTAGTTAGTGGCGACTTGCTCCACTGTGAGTACCTGTTGCAATCAGTGCTGGGACCTGCACTCAGGAATAAAACCAGACATGCTGAAGTAGAAAGACAGACCTGGAGGGAAGGGTAGGGAGTTGGGTGCCTGCATGTGAGAGTAGAGAAGGGAGCGGAGGTGGGGGTTGTGTAAGATGGTGGAAAGGACAGGAGGCACAAGGTTCAGGTTCTTGTTTGGCAGCAGAAAAAAACCCATGCAGACGGGTAGATTTAAGCAAGGGAACAGATGAAGAACAGGGAAGAGGCCGACCCCCACCTCGCTACAGCCTTCAACTACCTGAAAGGAGGCTGTAGTGAGGGGGGGGTCAGCCTCTTCTCCCTGGTAACAGACGATAGGACGAGGGGAAATGGTCTGAAGTTGTGCCAGAGCAGGTTTAGGCTAGACATTAGGAAAAATTTCTTCAATGAAAGGGTTGTCAGGCTCTGGAATGGGTTGCCCAGGGAGGTGGTCGAGTCCCCATCCCTGGAGGTATTTAAAAGACAGGTAGATGAGGTGCTTAGGGACATGGTTTAGTGGTGGGATGGCAGTGCGAAGATAACGGTTGGACTTGATGATCTTAAAGGTCTTTTCCAACCTAGACGATTCTATGATTCTATGACACCACTTCTCAGAGGCCTGACACGTGTGTTGCCTGATATAACCAGACGCTGCTGCAGTTGCAGCTGATACCAAAGAAAACATTAGACTGAGAAATACTATCGTGCTTCAGTTGCTTTTCCTGCCTAATTTGTAAAACATTCTTCACTGCCAGTGCAAACACAAAGTATCCAGAACACTACGAAAACTCTTGTTCCTCTGCATGCCTGATTACTGACACAAGAAAACTTTAGGGGTACAGAAAAGCTGGTCAAATCTTACCATAACCAGTTGTTCCCTCAGCTGCTCAACCACTCGTTTGTGTGCTCCAGCCAAGGCAATAAAATAGAACATAATGAGGCTACAAACAACAAACCAACATTATATATTAGCATCATGCAGAACAGAATTGGTCAGAAAAAGGCTGTTATGAGCTAGAGAAACCATCAGTTTGTGTGTTTGCTTCAGATGAGAAGCTGCCAGAGGGAAAAAAAAATTAGAAAGTCAATATACAGCTGGAGTAGGCTGGGCATAGTTTTGCTCAAAAGCATCTGCTGAGATATTTGGGCTGCCAGCAGGCAGGGACAGCGTGCTAGAGGACTTAGAGGCACGGGCATGTTCAGATGTTACAGGTTGTGTTCTGACAGCTCTCTGAACTGTCAGCTTCTGACCTGCTCTAAGTGTATGTATGGGGGCTTTGCTCCTCAGAAATTAAGTTAAGAAATGAAGTTTCACTGGGGTGACTCTTTGCTCCCATTAGTGTTTATAACTATGGTAAGCAGCCACAGATCAGTATTGCAGCCATTCCTTATAGCACATATACCACATGTAATCTGTGACCCATTAAATGAAGAGTGGTAGCAAGAACTAGAATGGCACAAATGCCTATATAAATTATGTATTTTCTTTTCCAAATAATAATTAGTAGGGTAGCAGTGCAAGTCATCCTCCAATTCTTACACAGGCTTTATGACAAAGTAAAAAAAAAAAAAAACAAAAAACAAAAAAAGAGGACTTGACATTTCCTGTGTATGCAATAACAGGTTCAGTTCGGGAGAACACGTAAATGTGTTATGGAAGAAAGGGCCAGATGGAGTCTGAAATAAACTGCATGGAAGTTGTAGAAAGCATCAGGTAACAAGGCTCCAAGATCTGAAAACAGTCGGGTTAAAATGAAATGCTAAAAATTTCATTTAAACAGAAGAAAAAAAAAAAAACCAAACAACCCAACTTTACTGCAAGAGTGACCAAACACTGGAGCAGGTTGCCCAGAGAAGTTGTGGAATCTCCATCTTCAGAGATAATCAAAACATGGTTCCTGAGCTGCTCTATTTGACCCTGCTTTGAACAGGATGGTTGGATTAGATGATCTCTAGAGGTGACCTCTAACCTTAAAAATTCTATGATTCTACACTGAATTTTATCTTACAAAATGACTGGTTTGGGGCTTTTGTTGTTTTGTTGGTTTCTTTAAACCAAGCTTTGGGCTTCGATGCTTTCAGCTGCAGATGAAAAATTTCGTCTAATAGTTGTTTGGTATCAGTTCAGTAAGGAAGGAAATGAACCATGCAGCTGCATGACTGAATCAGGTCTCCACAGTACTCACCAGATGACCATAAAAAAAGGCACTGCAAAGGCTTCTGATGCTATGCCATGAAGGACCTGCTGCAGACCCATTGGAAACCCAAGTATTGTATATGGAACAACTGCCCATGAAGTGTTAAAACTCCTGAATGGTCCACATGCCTTGGAGGAGGGGATACTGTGAAAGAAGCAGAACAGAAACGAGATGCTAGATCAAAATGTAAAGATAAAATATTCCAACACAAGCCTACCAGCATTTTGCTGATGGAGTAAAAACATCCTTGGTCTTTAAAACTCTAATTTTTATTTATATGAACTAAATAATAATTCAATTTATTATACACAATGTATTTTGTCCCAATTTATCATTCCAGAGTTGTGTGTCTGTTTTTAGGGAACTGACAACCATAGAGGAAATGTCAACATCATAGAAGTTAAATTGTCACTTACTATGCTATGCTGATTCCCAAAGGAATAAAAGCCAAGACGAGTCCAATCAACAGTACCACCAAGAAGAAAAAATTGGAACTTGATGCTCTGATAGGCCTAGCTGCAGGTTTACACGTGTGTATCAAACTGATCTGAAGAGGGAAAGCAAGCAAGACTGTTACCAGTACATCTATATGCATACGTCCAAGTATACTTTCCCCACTCACTGCATCTTTCATCCTCAAATATGCTACCAGCTACCACATAATCATCCTTTCTTTGATGGACATTGACTGAAAAGAACACTTTACTTTCTGGTACAAGTCAACATCTCCCACTTTGGGTAAGAATTTAATCCAGAGGGTCTCGTACACTTGCACAGAGCCAACTGACAGTAATTTGCTGTATGATCCATAGCACAGCCATTAGCTTTGATCTGCCAAATCTTCACTGGATACATCCCCCTTGTAAGCACTAGAATATCAGTAAGAATTTGTTGCACAGAAGGAGCTGTCTAGTCACAGAGCAAAGCTTCTGATATGCAGAAACCACGTCTTGAACATCCAATCCATCTCAGATTATCCATTTTGCTTCCAAATTTTTAGCAGCTTGGCAAAATCTTGTCCAAGTGCTAAGCTCTGTTGCTAGTAAACAGGTTACTGCAGAAAAATGTTATAAACTAGCTATATTACATAACATTATTTTATTTAAAAAAAAAAAATCAAACAAATAAGTGTTGAGATAATTATTAAAAGCAAAATTCTACCTTCTCTTAAAAGCAAAAAACCTACAGAAAATGGAATACATTACCTCATTTCTAGTACACTGCAGCCGTGGGTGGGTTTTTTTAGGGCTGTCTGTCTGTTTTAAATCAACTGCATGTCTACATTACAAAAACCATAGAGATGTGCTCAATTTTATTTGTTTACCACAAACCTTCATTACCTTTTTAATGTAAAAGATGATGAAGTATTTTATAGTTGCTATTGCAGGGAGAAGTGGTGAAAAGAAGGTTCCAATCCAGCAGATAGTCTGCCCATAAATGATTCCCAGGACATTGTCAGAAATTCCAAATTCCTGCAATCCACACCACTGAACTGGCTTGCAAGAGCAATGAGTAACTAACAACCTAAACCCAAAGAACATTATTAGTTCTAAACTGAAGTTACAGAGCTTAGCTGAATTCTAACACACGCAGATATTTAGAATTTAAGCATTAGACAGATAACAGAAAAATGTCTGGAGAAGAAAAAAAAAACCCTCAAGTACAAAAAACTACCAGAAATATGCTTACGTAAAACCGGTAATCTGGTTAGAAATATGGGGAATTAATAACAGAAAAAAGAAACAGGTTTCATAAGTCCTTTGCAAAAGTATGCTCAAAAGGCAGAAATACTTACTTTCTAGGAAAATCTACAAAGAGGGTCACAGCAACAATTATAATAAAATCAAATATCATCAGTTTATACATTTCTTGCCCAACTTCAGATTCCCAGCACTATAAAAACAAGTCAGGAAAAAACAAGATTAGGAATCTAAATAACAAGTGAAAAATAAATCGGTCAATCACTAAAGCAACAAACCTCTCAGTCAGTTAACATCATAAAGTTCAAATTGGATTAACTCCCATTTCTAAAATATTTAAGTGTTTCAGAGCTTCCATGGCAGGCTTTTTGTTTGGTTGGGTTTTGTTTGCTTTTTTTTTTTTTTTTTTTTTTTTTTTTTTTTTTTTAGGAAAGAGCATTTGTCTTATTGGAGCAAAAGGCAGTAACACAATTGTCTCCGAAACAGAGCTACCTCAAACAATCCTCATGGTAGTCAGGAAGTCTACACTAAATGATAATCTGCCAGTGGGATAATTCTAGTCAGAGTTTTAGATAGACAAGAATGTAAGAACTGTACTGGTTTGCACTGAGCAGGAAGAATGAGCACCAGATATAACATGAACAGCAGTTCTAGGTCTCATTCTGAATACCTCTAGACAAGCAAGTTTCATGGAAAACAAATCTCTCTTCACAAGCCCAAGATAAATTTGCTTACAGGATAGAGTTTGTAATTGTATCCACAGGCCTTACACTTGTCAGTGGCACAGTAGGAAATCTGACTCCACAGCGAGAACAAGAGAACACCAATATTGGCCAACCGCACAAAGACACACCTGGAAGAAAAGCAAAATCCAATTCCAAACCTGCCAAGAAAGAGCCATTCCAACACCTGGCTCAACTTGCACAGGAGTCCAAGGAAGGCTTGAAACACAAAAGGGCCAAGTCATACAAAGCTTTAATGGAACCACCAGCTATTTAATAAACACACTTCTTTACTTAGTAGTAAGTTAAATCGCTTTTCACCTTCCCTACTTTAGGCTACAACCCCTTGTTTCCTTTCTCAGTATTGTCCCTAGATCAGTCACTTCAGTTGCAGATCTTGACCCTGCAATGGGCTGCGATTCTCTCAAGTACAGTCTGAGAGGCCAAGTGACAACTCTGTGTGCAGCATTTCCCTCTCACGTGCCCTCAGAGGCACTTAGCCAAATCAGAAATACAAAGCACAGAGGCTTACAGAGTTCAGATGCTTCAACCCAGATCTTGCTGCCTTAAGCTGCCAAATGCCAGTTCTTCATGCTCTCACACTGAAGTAGCTTCTAGCCCAAAACTTTTAATTTCTGCCTTGAGCAAAGCCGTGCTTCAGTCACTGCTGTACATACACATTTGCTCATTCAAGGAACTGCTGCACGCAAAGTGGTGTGAATCCACTGCTCTGCAGCCACAACCTCTGTACCGACTATTTATTCAGGTTGTTGAAAATGTCCAGATCACGCAGCTAAACGGAACTGAAATGACTGTGCTGTACTGACATCAAAACAGGAGATTGTTTCCAAATTTAAAATTCAAGTTTCCAACTAAATATAAGTCAATGCCTGCTTGGCTTCCAGGGCCCAGGCCCTCCAGTGCAGAGTCCAACCTCTCTGCTTCTTGGTATTTTGATGTTTACAATACTTATAGCCTACCAAAACGAAGTTGTTGAAACATCCAAGGCCACAATACAAACATCTTTACCTCATGAGTGTCAGCCTGATTTCAAAGGCTGGTAAATAATCTTCATATCTGATCAGAAATGAGAAGATCTGAGGAGCAATGAAGTTGGCCAATGTGATCACCATGGAAGGCAAATACTGCACTAAGAGATTAGCCTGGAAGTTAGCATTGCTCATGTCCTGTACAAGAAGAGATGAGAGAAAGGCAATACTCAGAGAAACACATCTTCCTGACATCATGCTCTCTCCAGCTACCCACTAGCCTCTCTTCCACATACCATATTTTACCCTGCCTTCATCCTGCACCTACATTTGGAACTACAAGCCAGACCACTACTATCTATCTCTGCAGTTTGCTGCTACGCCCTTGCTTTCTTCTGCTCCCTTCACCAGTAACTCCCCCCCCACACACCCTCCTAGCAGGTATTTTAGCGCTTCCCCAAAACTGTCTGAAGAGGCTCATCTCACCAAGGCTTGTGTCTGACCATGTTGTCTAACCCAGCACTACGGCTAACAGCTTCTACACCTATGTTGAAGTGCAGACACTTTTCAAGTTAATCACACTGGTGCCAAGCAGCTCCCCTGACCTTCCTACCATCTTAACAAGCTCCCCTACCTACTCATTTAGGCAGGTCAAGATATCAACCTTTAAACGTAAAGCTGACAGCAAGCGAGGCTGTTTTGCAAGTTGTTCAGTGTTGTGCTATCCTCTTTCTCTGCCTTCAAACAATACCTCTGACGCAAACACTTCTTTAGGCCCTGTTTCCTGCTTCTCTCTCTCCGCAATCCTGGCAGTTTACACAAGTTAAGAGTAAGGTCCACCACGAGTACAACGTCCCCCACGAACAGCCAGTGCCCGTCACATCACCAGTGAATGGAGGGAAAGGAAAAGTGCTGTCTCCATTCATGTCAGGCTAATTCAACACTGGGGTCCTACAGAGAAGTAAATTA